TCCTCCTCCTCCTCCTCCTCCTCCCTTCCCTCCTCCTCCTCCTGCTGCTGCCGCCGCTGCCTCCCCTCCCGCCGCCGCTCCCTGCCTCCCCGCGCCTTGTTGCGTCTCCCGCCTCCTGCTCTTGTAGCGGGGCCGCTCCTATAGCCGGGCCGCTCCTATAGCGGAGCCGCTCCTATAGCCGGGCTGCTCCTGGAGCGGGGACGCTCTTATAGCCGAGCCGCTCCTACAGCGGGGCCGGCCGCGCAACCTGTGGCTGCTGGAGCGCGCGCGCCTTGCGCGGGGTCCTGCGCGCCGAAGCACAAAGGGGGGGTATTTATTTATCTATTTGTCTATCTATCTATTTATCTATTCATTGATTTATTCTTTCTACCCGCCTCCCCTTTTCTTAGTACGAGTAGTGGGAGCTCTCCGCTCCGCCTCGCCTGCTTACTTGGGAGGATTATAAATCGCTTCCCTGAGAATAGGCGCGGGGACGGGCGTTTTTTTTTGAACCACTCGGAACCTATTGATTTCCATATAATTTTCTTCCCTCCTTCCCTCGCTTCTCCCCTATAGTTTTGTTGCAAACACTAGTGCGGCAGGAGCTGGGCACGGGCTCCCGCCCGGGAGGGCGGCCCGAGGGGAGCGTTTCCCGCCGCTCTCTCCTCCTCCGGTCCGGGCAGACCCGAGTTTCACCTCGGCGGGGTCTGAAGCACAAACCTACCCCCTCCGCCCCCAAATCCTTCCCTTCTGTCTAGTTTTCTTGCTTTCATTTTCGTGCTTTTTTACTCTCTCGTTTTCTCTTTTRTTACCTGGATTTTTTTTAATACAACAATAATGTAAAGAAAGGAGTTGATTCTTCCTTATACATTTCCAGTCTGAAAAAAAAGAGAGAAAAAAAACCCTCAAACGAATAAGACTGGAGAAAAGATCTTTCTATCTTTCCTTCTTTTCACCTTCTTCATTTCTCCTCTTTTCTCTTTCTTTTTTTTTTTTCTCTCTTTCTCTCTCCCTCTCTCTCTTTTCTCTGCTTTATTCTTTGAATACTTTTGCACTTGAATGATACCAGAAACAAGAGCAACAGCAGAGTTGCAATTACTCGCGATGGATTTTGTGAAAGATATTGGGGGTTATGGCCCAGATTCTTTTATATATATATATATATATATATATATATATATATACACACACACATATATATATATATATAAGAATATATATGTATGTATATATACACACACATATATATATACACCCACACATATATATGAGCTGCTTGTGAAGTTGGAGTCGGTTGGGGGCCTCAGTGCCGAGTGACGGATCCCGCTAATTTGACCGCGGGATTGATGTGACCTCCCTGTGGCTGTCCCGGGTTGAATCCTGTCCCCCGGGGCGCGTCCCCCGCGGGGCGGGCAGGTATCCCCGGCTGGTGGCAGCCGCGCAGCGGCCGCGGGGTGGCTGCGGCGGCGGCCCCGGGTCCATCGGAACCGGCTCTCGGCTCCCGGGCGCCTCCCCCGCGCGCAGCGACGGGACGCGCAGCCAGCGACTGCCCCCGCGCATCTCCCGCGTAAATCCCGCGGTTGCTCCTGAGGCTCTCCCAGTTTTATCCCGGGAAGGATGATTTATGCGAAGGGGAGCCAGGGCTCCATCCATCCATTACCCCTTCCCCGGGGAGCACTGGATGCAACCTCATCTCCGAGGGGGGTCAGCTTCAGACCGAAACATGCTGGGCTGGGAAGCAGAAGGCGTCTTATTTAGGGAAGTCTTATTTGGGAAGTCTTATTTAGGGAAGGCTTATTTAGGGAAGGTCAGTCATCAGGGTGGCCGAATAGGGCTTCATATTTTTTGTTTTGTTTTGTTTTAACGTGACCTATTCTGGCTATATCTAAGCCACCGTGCCTTGGAATCAATCAAACAGAAAAAAAAAAAATCTGTTGAGGTAGGATGGGAAGAAACCGGGAGAGACCAAGTCGCTCAGAGAGGAACCAGCTCCAGGGAAAATAAATAAATAAATAAATAAATAAATAAATAAATAAATAAATAAATAAATAAAGCGCACCCAGGCGGTTCTGTTTCCCTGCTGTCCGGTGGCCGCAGCGAGGAGCCGGCAGCGCCCCAGCCCCCGGGGACAGCAGGGGACGGGATGGAGCCGGGCCGGGGAGATGGGCCGGGGACGAGAGGCGCTTCCCCCTCTCTGAGGGCTGCCCTGTGTCCCCTGCCCCTCGGCCCCTTGGACCCCCGCAGTGGGGAGAGTGATGGGGCTGCGGACGGGGGGGTCTCCAACCAATTCCCGCCGTGGCTCTCAGCGGCTGCGGCAGCTCCAGGGCTTTTAAAGCCATCCCGTTTATTTAAGTGCTTCATTTTCTCCGGCCAAAGGCCGAATCCATCGGCCGCCCCTCTCTGTGCCCAGCACCACTCGCAGGGCGAGAGTCTCGGGACTACCAGCGTGGCCGGGTCCCCCCACCAGGCTCCTCCGGCCCCTTTCGGGCTCTCCTGCCTCCTTTCCCCGAGCGCCTCCCGCAGCTCTGGACACCTTCCTTTCTTAATTTTATTTTATTAATATGTTGCGAAGTGCTGATACTCAAAGCAGTGCTTCAAGTTGCGATCCTCTCCCACTTCTTTATTCATTTACTTGCTTACTTACTTTCTCCAGCTTAATCCCCGCTGCGAGCCTGATCCCTCCTCCCGGCCCGATGGCTCCCGCAGCTCAGGCTCCCCAGGGCCAGCCCCGCTGGTCGCCAGCCCCTCTGGTCGCCAGCCCCGACTCCAGGCGGCTCCGGGCCTCGCGACAGATTTTTATCTAAGTGCTCGCCCTTATTTCTGTCCCTACGTCAAGCCCCATGGCTGCTGATGGTGGCCCCCTCGCCAGCTCAGCGGGCCACAAGAGCATGTTGTGGCTGAGGAGGCTCGATACGAGGGAGGGACATACACATATAGAATGCATTTACTTGTCTCCAGGAGTTTTCTTCGGCTTCGGATGCAAGAAATAGGCAGATTTCCTTAATTGACTGAATCGCCCATCCCTGAAAAGTAATAAAGTAGCCCCTAATTCCCACAGTGAAGCGGTTTACAAATTAATTACTGAAACCCATTGTGTTTGATTTCTCTTTTTAGGATTCCCCAAAGATGAATATGCTAAARCCTGGGATATTGAGTTATTAACGTCTCATCATACTTTGGTATATATCCTGACTTAGAAAAAAATAAAAAAAGAAGGAAAAAAAAGGAGTCAACGTGGAGCTTATGGAGCCGCTCACACTAACMCTTCTGGATATTTTTATTTCACTAAACCTCAGCTTTACACAGTTTAGTCGCGGTATTTGTCCTACGCTGAGTGTCAGCGAGAGCACTGAGAGAAAACCTACAGAACATGTGTTATTTGGTGAAGTTCACAGAAAGTCAATATACCATTTAGTGTAAAAGCTGTTTTTCCCTTTAGATGATAAAAAAATCAACTTTTTTTTTTTTTTTTTTTTTTTTTTTTTTTTAAATCTTTGGGGTGAATGCACAAAAAGTATTTCCATGTCCTAATGAGGACTTTCCTTACATCAGCAAAGACCTGCTAATTACTGATGTACAAGCTGCAATAATTGCTTTTGCAGCCAAAGTGTAGAGTGTTGTCATATTAAAAATTGAAAGGCTTGATGGTGATTTCAGTCCCAAGGTGGATCCCGACGTCCCCCTTTCGGGAAAGGAAGGAGGCTGGAGGAGTTCGGCAGAGGTCCAGAGGATTTAAAAAAAAAAAAAAAAAAAAAAAAAAAAAAAGTTGAAAGTTTCCCGTTCTTTGGAGAGCTGCAGGATGCAGAGGAATCAGGACCGCAGCGAGGAGCCCCCTCCTGATCCGCACTTAGTCCCAGCCTCCCCATCCAGATCCCGGCCTCCCACTCAGGTCTCAAATTCCCACTCAGGTTCCAACTTCCCACCGAGGTCCCAGCCCCCCATGCAGGTCCCAGCCTCCCACCCAGATCCCAGTCTGCCATTCAGGTTCCAGCCTTCTCATTCAGGTCCCAGTCTCCCACCCAGGTCCCAGCCTGCCCATCCCGAGGGCGAAGCTCTTGCTGGTTTCCACGTGCGGCCGGCGCCTCCCTCTGCTCCCGGCCGGTCGGACTCCTCTCGGAGGGTCTCGCGGCTCCATCCCGCGTCTCCCGCGCCGAGGATCCAACGTCCTCGCTCCGATCCCTGCTCCGCTGCCCAAATCCGCAGCGAAGCCCGCGCCCCCCCAGCCCCGCACAAATCAAAGCGCGTTCCGAGGGGCTGGGAAGTAGTTGCCTTGTCATGTAACACATTGCCCTGATTTATTATAAAATTTTAACGAAATCATGCATATTTTAACAGCCTTTAATCACTGCATGAAAATTTAATTCATGAACTGTAGCGCGTTTAAATAAATGAAGTGTTAATTCATTAGGATTAATTAATTTGTTAAAGGATTGTGTGCAAGGTTAAGGTGGAAGAAAAACTCTTTGTTAGTTTCGCGTCTTAATCATCGCGTTTGGTGAACGGGGAAGGGAGCGGGGGGCGCGAGGGGGGGTTCTGGGCTCGGGAGGAGCCGGGCGAGCGCAGTGAGAAACCCGAGCAGCTTCCGCGGCGCGGGACGGGGCCGAGCGACCCGCTGAATCCCGGCCCAGCCCGGTGGGGAGCCCCGGTGAGGAGGAGCAGCGCAGCCTTCCTCCCATCCGCGCTGAAACTTCTCCCCGCTGCATCCGCAGCCCGCGCGGGAGGGGAAAATTGATTCCATTATTTCCAGGCGGTTTGGGATGGTCGGGAAAATCTTCCCGGAGCCGCCGGTCCCCGCGCGGTCCCAGCGCGTCTCGGCTCTGCGGGGGACAGACACGGCGCTCGGGGAGAGTGACACGCGGGGAGCGAAAATGACAGGGAGCAGGAAACGGACACGGGGATGAAACTGACACGGGAGGAGTGAAAGTGACACGGGAGGGATGAAAGTGACACGGGAGGAGTGAAAGTGACACGGGAGGAGTGAAAGTGACACGGGAAGGGGTGACACTGGCCCGTCTGGCACCCGCCGGGTCCAACAAGGGAGCGGCCTTGGCCGCGTCCCTTTGGTTTCCCTGAGGAAACAGGGGAATGCAGAGACAGCCAGTAGGAGCGTTAGGGAGAGGAGACRGCCATTCCTGCCGGGAAAAGCTGAGCATAGTCAGGACTATTCAACTTTATTCTCCTTCAGCCTAGTTTAATACCCCTGTGCGCACAGTATCTCTCAGGAAGGCTCCTCTCTCCGCCAGCCCTTTCCTCCCCTTCCTTCGGCTGGCGGAGACGTTTTCAAGGCTCGGTCTGATGGAGAAGCGACACTGCAGCCCTCGAGCCCACGCTGGAACGCGTCTCCCGCTGCTGCTTATCCCGGCAATGGAGGGGAGCACCTGGAGAGCCCGGCAGCAGCGCCGGAGGACGGCAAAGTACCTGCTGCGTATCCAGAGACGCTCCTCCTCTCTCCCGGACTTGGAGGGGAAGGGGGACAAGCAGGTGGCAGCAAGGAAGGCCTGGCAGCCTCGTGGCTGGCAAAGCACAGGACTCAACCAGGGTGTCCCAGCCTCCTGGGAACACTCCGTGGGGTGCAGTCCCACGAGGACTAAGGTCAAGCCTAGGTGGGTTAAACTGCCTTCAACTAACATGATTTGTTCAGGGGAGGAATCGGGATCCACAGAAAGGGGAAGGAAGGGAGGTGCAGGTCAGCACTCCTTGCATGGGGTGTGCAAGCAACGCAAAGACCTCTTCCCCTCTTTATTTTTAAGGCGCTTTCAGAAAAGACAAGAATTCACAAGTGGAAAACGGACCCTGGCAGTCTCACTCTCAGGTGTAACCCAGCAGACCTTCTGGGATAGGGCTGGAATGCCGCTGCTGCAGCATGGAATGCTCCTGGGGAGAGCTCGCTTCTCCTGAGACCTGCAGGGTGCCTGGCATTCAGCCCAGTAAGTGAAACTTTCACAAGCCATTACATACCAYTTGACATCATATATCACACATATATGYACATATATATCACCTTGAACCACCTAATTACTGCCTTAAGGTTTCTAGTGAAGTTTCAGCTCTTGTATATTCCAATTCTTGTAGATTGCTGCGTAACTATCATCAAAATAACCATGTTTAACCCTTTTATTCTAAACAGAAAAATACTAGAACTGCAAACGTGGCAGCTTCTTCAAGGTGCTTTTTAAAGGAATAAACACAAAAAGGCCAACCAGAGCGAGGCTCATCTCCTAGGAGCCAGTTAGCCTCAGCCTGGCAAGGCAGGAAGCACAAGCCTGCTCGCAGCAGGGGACGCTACCAGATCCATGGAGGCCGGAGGCTTTAGGTGGGTTGGTGGAAACCTTTGGCTTTTCCTTCCAGGCATCGGAGCCACGCGACACGTCAAGTCAGAACAGCGGCACTGCAGCGTAACTGGTAGGTGGGGTTTCCTGTCAGAAAGACTAAGAAGTGACTTTCAAAACAATCTTCYTTTATTTAATACCAGTTTTATTCCTGCTCTCATCCATGAAAGCAGCAGTTTCACCTCAGACCAGATCCAGGGGCCTCCTCCCGTCACCGCGACACCCCCAGCATCCCCAGCACTTACCCGGTGCAGATTCAGCTTGGTGGCCGTTATGCAACGTAAGGATAGCGTAAGGACGGTTTTGAGGAGTCTGGAACGTCCCTTCTCCTCACCTCCCAAAGAGGCAGATGGAGGCAACACGTTTTTGGGGGACTTCTTAGAAGGACTGAGGCACATCAMGGAGCAGCTCGTGTGCAGGCAGTTCAGTCGGCTTCTTCATTTCTGAAAAACCTAAAGCAGGAAGAGAAGGATGAGACTTCTGTGAAGGCCAAAGCCGACCCGGGATACTGGAGAGGCAGTGTGGAATGGCAGTTAGAGGATTCACTGCCCTCTGCGAGGGGTCTAAAAGCAGCACCGGCCTTTTCCATATCCCACCTATGGATGAATCAAGGACGCCTCCCCATAAAACACGCCACCAAGGCCAACACGGAGACGAAATCCCATACCTTCTGATTGAGGATGTCTTTAGGAACCCTTAAGCACAATAATGCACAGACGYCGATTTTGCTTGCTGCTTAATTCGGCCTCCTGCCTGTCCCAGGCCACCCYGTTACACAAGAGCCACCTAAAGCCGCTTCCATCGGCCGCCCGATCCTGGTTCCAAAGGGCAATAGGTCCAACGAGGAGCAGAAAGGAAGACCTGACTTCTGTGTGAATAAATYCACATTTACACCTTACAAAACTTGGATATTTTCAAAATGATGAAAAAAAAAGAAGAAAGTTTCCCAATTCTTCTTGAGCTAATTCAATATTGGCGGCAACAGCAAGGATTACAGTGCTTGTAACATCTTTTATTCAATTCACATAAAAAAAGCATGCAGTATTAATGTAAAATGGTACAGTATTAATGTAAAATGTTCAGTGCACATTAGGTAAACAAGTCATTAGCATACAAACCCATTTTTATCCTCTACACAGGCAAACTGAACACGCTCGGCATAGCAAAATGGGGGGAACCGGATGAAAAATTGTGCTTAACTCCAAAAATACAAGCCCTGTTGGCAACCTTAAGAGCCATCCTCTAACCCAAGTGCTGTAACCCCGAAGAGAAAGAGACTGCTACTTCCTATCTGCTTAAAACAAGAGTTGCAGCACAGTTCAGGGCGATGGAAGAGCCCAAGCAGCAACATTTTCTCTGGCAGACAGGTTTTATGGCAAAATTGTCAGTGTTTTACAGCAGTTCCATGCAATGATGGTATAAATGATGGTGGCTGCCGTGCAGGACAGGTAACAGTCAGGAGTGGGAAGCACCACCTTTAAAACGAGTTCCCCCCCACCATAAATGACTTGTGTGACAAGAGCACTTAAACCCATCCTATTTAAGGAAGCTGTTAAGCTCAGCTCACATCTGGAAGGTTACCTCAACTGAAAACAACCCCCCCCCGCCCCGCCCCAAACCCCCATATACCCAAGTAAACAAAATGCCGTGGCAAAGAAGAGAATCTGGAATGGTTCTGCCCTAGGAAAAGGGCTTATCAGGGCAAAGGGAACATTCAGTTTTCATGTGGTCAAAAAAGACAGGACTGGATTGTATGGAAATCATTAAAAATGAAGTTCACTTGGGAAATCCGAAGCATCCGCAGGTCGACAACTTTTCAGTTGTCTTCAGTCACGTTTCATTTCGGAGCAGACTCAGTTTTTGGTAGTTTTGGAGGGACTGGCACTAGAAAGGCTGCTCGGAATTTTCCTCTTGGTCGACTGGCTCGCATTTTTATTTTTCCTTTCGGGAAGGAAGGGAGAAACCCAAGGCGCGTTGAGCTGATTGTTCAGGTCAGTCTTTAAAAAGCAGGGACCAAACTTCTGTTCCTCAAAGAGCCTCTGCGAGTTGCTGAAGAGCAAACTGTGGGAAAACTCCCTCTGAAACAAGCAGGTGGGAGGTTTGATGTCATCAGCCGCTACGTTCTGGCTTGCGAAGAGCGGGAAGTGGTCGTTCATATCCAGCTCGGACGGGGAGAGAAGGGAAAACATGGCAGGTTTCCAGCCAGCCCTGTCACCTGGTGGGTCACTTGCCTCCAGACTCTTCATGCTCTGCTCCTCCTCCATCTCTTCCACTTTCTTCTCCGTCTCGTTCAGAAGCTTAGAGCATTCGGTTGCCTTTGAAGAATTCTCAAGCTCGGAGGACTTGAAATTGTAGCACGGGCTCTTGCTGTTGTCTGATTCGGACATCATCGAATCCAGCTCGGAAATTTTATCGAGGTAGGCAGCGTCCATGGAGGCCTCACTGGAGGTTCTCGTGCGGTTCATCTCGGAGGAGCAGACAGCATGTAGCTTCTTGGGCAAACACGAACTTGCTTTATCGCTGGCTTTGGCTGGGCTTTCAGTGGACTGACTAGCCATGGTGTTTTCTTCCGATTCATCAAAATCTAAGTTCTCAGCAAAGTTTGCTGGGCAGGCCCCCCAAAAGCCTGATTTTCCTGTGGTGAAACAGTTCAGCTTCTTCTCGCTCTCACAGCTGCTCGTGCTGTGTTCTGGAGCATCTTTGCTGCAGCCATCCGAGGTGTCGCAGAACTCCTCAAATTTCAGTTTTCTCAGAAAGGATGATGATTTCTTTGCGTTTTCTTTCCCATCAGGGGTGTTCAAGTGCAGGCGACTAAGAGACAGAAAGGGGGTGCACGGTGCTGGAAGCTCGTAAAGCTCTTCATCCTTAAAGGGGCTACGCTCCTCTCTCTTATTCCACTGCTGTTCTAAGCAGGCCTCCATATCCGCAGGGCCTTCATCCAGGAGAACCCCCTGACACCCTGGGAACAGCTCCTTCTGCGCAGCACCCTGTGCCTTAGACCCACCATTCGACCCATCTTGGCTGGAGGAGCTTGAACACGTCCCGCCAGCCGGCAGCTGCTGCTCCAGCCTTTCGGGACCATCTGTGGTCCCACACTCAGCCCGGTTTTCCAACCGGCCCGAGTCTTCCCCGACGCCCTCCGCTTCCTTGGCCTCGCTGGGAAGGGCTCCCTGGCTCCCGGCGCTCGCTTGGCCGGCGCTTTTCAGCTGCTGGAGCTGACACTCCATCTCCTCTATGTACTTGTCGCTCCTCTCCAGCGCCTTCTGCAGGCGGCTCAGCTCGCGCTCGCTCTGCTCCGCTTTGGCCTGAAGGGCAGCGACCGTGAACCGGCCCAACCTGCAAGAGAGGAAGGAGATGCTAAAGCAGGGAAGCACGGAGCCTCTGGCTGTGTTTGGAGCTCGCTGCCAAGGACACAGCTACTGTACGGAGTGCTAATTTGGAAACAAAAGCCAGCACTGCACATCGCTGCTATTTATGAAAGAAGAAGAAAAAAAATCAGCATATATAATGTATAGGTGGGGGTGAATACCTGAAAAGCCCAAATTAAACTATTAGAGGTAGTAAGGCAATAACAAGCAGATTACCCTTCCAGGGGCTGGTTCTATCAATTCAACTCAAATATGCATGAAGAATTATCCCCTAAAACAATGGCAAAGATTTATGATAACATTTGAACAGTGGTCCACATCTTGAAATATTTACATTCAATCATTTTCCTACACTGCAGCAGTGTTCTACAATACATTTCCTACCCAATGTCACCTTGTCAACTACAAAATGCCAATATGAAATTCCGAAATTGCCGGAGTCCTTTGTGGTGGTTTTAAATACTTACGTCGACCATTCATTTCAATTAGGCTCTGCTTAGACAGACAGCTTCTTCTCCCTGACCATGGCACGGGTGGCCCTTCCACTGACTACAGACCTACTTGTTTTTTGAGCCTCAACTTCTTTTTGGGCTGCAACAAGCTCATTTCTTCCTCAGCTCCGGTGCAAAAGAGGCCGCTTGGGGCCTGCAAAGGTTGGGTTGTTCTCGTGGCTTCCAGCTCGAGCGCATTTTCAGCTGCAGAGACAGAACCCTCCTCCTCCTCCTCCTCCTCCTCCCCATCCTCCCCCAGCTTTCAAGAGTGACCTTCCCCAGAGGGCAGGTGAAGGTTTCAGCTACATGCCCTGACTAATTCCAACCTGCCGCTGACAGCTGGGCACGAGGGAATTCCCTGCTCCATTCGAGACGTTCAATTTACAGAAAGAAAACCAAAAACAATTAAAGTTCTGGTGTTATTAGGAAGGAAACTGCAGCCAGCCTAAAACTCTTGACACATCTGGTGTTTATATCACAGAGAAATGACAAGTCCTTCTGTGGGATTACGCTAAACCCCGCTTTCCACCTTGCAAATCCATGTGGCAGCACAGGTTTGTGCTTCACCCCTCAGTGCTAAGGCTGCCTCGCATTTCTCTCCTGTTTCTTAGTCTGTCTCTACCTCCCTTCAAAGCCAGAGGAATTTTTCCCTCCCTCCTCCCCACGACTTCCCCAATTCCAYCCCTCATCCCATCCCAAGATGCTGCTACTGCAACACTCTGACCAAGGAGGTCTGAGGGCACTGTGGCAAAACAGCCTCAAAACTGTGCCTGGATTTCCAGCAAACCACCCTGTTTCTTCAGCTCCTGACCACAAAGCAACAGGAAACTGTTCCATGCTTCCTATTGGGAACGGAGGAGGAAGGAAGGGAGAGATCCCTGAGAAGTTTGGATACTAGTGACCAGATCTGCGGTGCGAGAGTCCCAGCCCACACACTCCAAGACGTTGGTTGCACTGGATCCTACCAAGAGGAGAGGGAACAACCTATCCSTCAGCTATAACAGTAATGCAGGCAGCCCCTTTTTCTCACACTCATGCTGTGAGCAGCAAGTGTTCTAATTTCATGKCAGCAGCTCCTCCATTCCTGGTTGTGAGCAAGGGGGAAGTGGCAGGGAAGTTGCACAGGGCCTCCTCCCATCCCTGCATGAAGGCAGGAATGAGCAGATCCAGAGAATCCAAGGACTTTGCAGGGTATCTGTGGCTGAAGGAAGTTATAGCGAAATGACCGTYCTCACACACAGTAACATCTATTATCTCTCCCAATGAAAGGAATTTGGATACCGTTTTAAAATCTTAAAGGAGCCACTAGAGCATCCAAGCACGGCAGGAGGGCCTGCTTCCTAGACCAGGCAGATCCAGGCGCTTTTATTTTGCCTCCCTAACAAAGCCAGTCACACAGGATTAGAGACTCAACAACATCTATTTTGCTTAAAAAAAAAAAAAAAGCAGGCAAGAAATGATACAATTAGCTGAAGAATTGAGTGACACACAGAAAAATGATTATATAAAATAAGCACCTATTTGCCACTAGGCACCTAGTGACTTACGGAAACGGTTCCAGGTCTTTAGCTGCCTCCTGGCCTCCAGCTCTCTCTCCAGAAGGACACAGGTCTCATACAGGAACTGTTCCACAGCTGCCAGCCCTGGGCACATGTATCAGACACCGTATGGGGACACTGGGTGCTTCTCCTCACGCAACTGAGGCCTTTTCAGGGGTCAGGCCTTTTCTTCAGCCAGAGCCCTTCGCCTTGCCCCAACCATGTTCTATCTCAACACCAGAAACCACAAGTTCAGCAGTCAACTCCCATCTYGTGTCACAGAAGAACCAGTTCCTTTGGGTCATTCCTTCTCACACTACTCCACAAATGCTGCCTCACCATGATGCTCAAAGGGAGCCGTGGGAGTTTGGTTTCATGTTGGACAGTCTTTGACCTACAACAGATCAAATTTCTATAGGTTTTTCTTCCCGTCTCTCCTCACTTCYGCTATTTCAGCTTTAAGGCTTTATTTTCAGAGATCACTGTCATAGCAGGTCTGCCTAGTTAAGCCCTCAACTCCATATGGATTTAGTGTAAAGCCACAAAACCTCACATAAATATTTACTTATTTTGTGTACGTCAAGCAGCTGCAGCAAACAGACTTTTCCTATACAACTGTATACAGGTTATACAGGAAAATTACYCAGGTGATTTTCCAGGTTATACACTGGGCAGGCTGAGATTCCATAGAAAAGACAATTCTCCAGTTCKAATCACCTGATGCTCCCAACCAGAGAACAAACTGTGGCTCTTGTAACAACCCGTAAAAGAAACTAGGGCTGCAGGAGGCAGCAGTTATTTTTCCTGCGACCACTGCAGCTGGTCTTCAAATATAACCCTCCCTTGGGACTGCAGCCTTGCCGGGCGATGGAGGATAGGCCATTTTTCCCTATGGGAAGGCAGATGCCTTCCTTCTTACTGGACTCATTTGCAGGCTCAGTGAAACTCTGTGAAATATGGATTGAATTAAACGGGGGGTGGCATGAATGGAAGTACTGGATGAGGGTAAAAAGTGAATGTTGTACACACTGACCTACAAAGTCAACAGGATTTCGGGGTGGAGGCAGTTGCAGCCACAAATCAAAGCAGTATAATCCGTAAAACTGGAGAAAGAGGGAACAAAAACAAAACAAAMAAAAAAAAAAGCAAAAACCAAACCCGAAACCCTAAGAGATAATGCAACAATTTTCTGCATGTCATAGATAGTTTTTCAAGCTGGGATTTTAACTGGCAGAAGAAATTAAATATTAAGGGACAGGCCTCCTAAGAAGCTTAGAAGTCTGTTTCAAGCTCATTTGAATCTAACCATTCATAAAATACACTATACCCTGGAGTAGGCAGACTTACTAGCTATTTTCCTTCAGGTAAAAAGCAAATATTCCTTTGCCAAAAATGCTTTTAGATCCATTGTGCGCTGCCAATGGACCTAACAGTTTTCCATTTTAAGTAGAGCTGAATGTAATAGGGCTTCATCATGCTGCAAAACTTGAGTTTCTGAAGTTTCCTGCAACCTAAAAAAAATACCCTTCTGCTTTGCCTGAGAACTGGCAGACTAATTCAGGTTTCTGGTGAGAACCAAAGCAGAAACTTATTCCTTTTTGTTTTTCAGAGAGATAATCCAACTAAAAGTTGGCTTAGTGTTGTGGTCTTCACATCTGTGTTTTGATCTAAATTTGAACTGTGGCTCTGAGAAACTTTTCTCTCAAAAACACCTTTCATGAAAAAAAAAAAGATGAATTAGGGTTGTCAATTACAAATGGTGCATAAAAACAAACAAACAAAAAACCCTGACACTGATGCAATGTCAATTTTATTGACATTTGTGACATTTTCCAGCAGGTTTTAATGGACAACAAGCAAAGAAAAAACCACCCAAGCCCATGATAAAAGGGAAGTTTTTTATCGACCTTCAAAGGCAGCTAATTATATTTTCCCTGTGAGGTAAATCAGGAGTTAAATTTGGGCTGCAAAGGGGCTGTTCACCTGCCCTCAGTGTTTCTGGTGCTATAAAGCAGAACCTGCTRATTTCCTAGGTGGCAACATTTAGTGGCAATGTCACTGGGTACGTGAACCACAACTTGGGTTGATGGGACTGTGAATGCTGATAAATCCCCTCAGAAATAGTTTAATTGATTCCAGTATTAGTTACATAGACCTGAGGGTTAAGCTCGATTCCACCCCTGGCGATTTGGARTTCACTAAGGTCTGCAGGACACCAAGGCAGGAGCACCGTGGTGTTCAGCAGGAAGTCCCAAAGCCACCAGAAAGCTGCTCAGCAGCTTTTCCTGAAACCTGTCTTTGCAGCAACATGAATGAAGTGCAACAAAAATAACTGAGTAGTTATTATGAGTAGTTAACTGTGGCTTATCTGCAYAGAAAGACTGAATAGAGTGATGTTGCTGGGATATGAACTTGCTGTCCTTCACTTCATTTCATAAACAAGAAAAGGAAACAGAGTTATTGCAGTCACTGAGCAGTATGTGGAACCTACCTGAAAGACCTTGAAAGGATCAGTTAGCAAAGTCTGTCAGAGGAGCTAGAAGACCCTTTCTAAAGGAGTCTCACTGTATCTGTTAGGCTCAAGCGTTTTCTTGCGGATTCTTGCATTCCTGGAGCACCTGCTAACCCAGCAGTGAATTCAAAGCAGGACTGATGCTGAAGCTGGTGGAAACAGTGCCAACAGGCAACTTGCTGGAAGATGAAGTGTTAGACTGCTCCTGAACCACTTTAAGCCAAATGCAACTCATGTCCTCCAAACAACATCCAGCCACAACTCTGGAGTTACCACGAGGGAGAGCCTATTCCCAGCACGTAGGCAAGATGTCATTATTTGTTTTGGAGGTGGGAGAAAAAAATGCTTTGGAGATGGGAAAAAAAGACAGAAGTGCAGACATGGAAAGGCCAATCTAGTYGGCCTCTGGGTTACAAAACAGGCCCTGGTACTGTCCAGTTTTGGGACTGGACATTTGGGACTTCTAAGAACGACAGCGATCAGCTACTCTTTTAGGCTACATGGGCAAACCAAGAGGAAATTAGAAAGTCTGAAACCCCCTCCCTTCCCAACATTTTTTTTTCTGGAACAGAGGGATCATATATGTTCCTTCCTGTGGTTTGGAATGATGAGCAGGTTGGTGAGTATGTACACTGGCTCCRTAAAGATTGATTTCACCTTCAAACTTGTGGGCTAGAGCCTGCAGAGCTCTCCTCTCACGCTACACACAAGCAAAAGCCACCTGCCCCAAGTCATCCTCTCCACCTCAAAAAAGCCCTGTATAAACCTTAGGCTAATGTTGCCCTTAGCTTGCTAAGGTCTAAACCAGGAGTAGTTTGGCAGGAGTCATGAAGACTACGCTTGCAGCAAACCAGCGACAGCAAAGGATGCAAATCCAAAAATAGATCAGCTAAGGAGCACAGACTGGAGAAATGCTCATGACATAACCCCAATAAATGGTACCTTAGCATACAAGTGTAATCAGTATGACAGAATTGCTGGGTTTGGAGGTCACTGTCATGCTGCTTTAACTGCTTAAGAGAGAAAATTAGTAAGAGACACCTCAGAGAGTGATGGCCTCATACTACAGAAGCCTGATTCTCCAAACCTTGACTCGACAGAAAGTTATGAGGGACTGTCCTTGAATTAGGAATTAAGGCCACAGAATAAATGCTAAAGGGAGAAGAAGGAAGAAGAAAACGGACTAAACAGAAGGAGTGAGAAATTCTGTACTCTGTCACAGGTCTTCCGCTTGGATAAAAGGATACCCAATTTAAAAGAAATCCTTCTGGAACAAAAGAAAGTTAATTGCAGAATTCAACCAATAAATGCAGCCCTTCAGTATGGGCCAGACAATACAAGGACAACATCATTTGCAGTCAATGTATATTCCTTTGCTGAAGACTTGCTCCTATTCTTTAAGTTGCATTTATCACAAATCTAAGAGTATAAATACCACAGTCTACCTTGGAGACACATATACAAGCCACGTACGCAACCCACTGTTTTAGGTTAGAGTCCTACAACAGTTAAACAGTCTATAAATAAAATATGGCAGCTTTTAAAATATTTACATACTTTTGGGGTGATCTACTATCAACTTCAGCTTTTAGTCGCAAATTCTCTCTTAAAAGGCTATTGTTTTCCATGCTCAGTTTCTTATTTGCCTAAGGAAAAAAAGTAAAAAAAAAAAATAATTAAGTATACAGTAAAACAGAAATGACTTCTAATATTTATAAGACAAGCTGTTTCTGCTTTTTAAAGAGACAGAACTAGAAATGTGAAGGCAGGAAACAGCCTTCAGACAGGGACACCACTTAAAAAATTACCAGGGGAAATGGCTTGCAAAACTGACTAGCGAACAGGCATTTTTTATTTATATTCCCAAAATACACTGCAAGTGTCCTATCTAGGGAAATAAACACAGCCACGTTAGTTAGCACAGAAAGTCATTAAGGGGATGTACTAATGGCAATTCCGTGTTTTTTTTTTTTCCACATGACTAAATACTTTAAGTACATTAACATTACAATGTGCAGGTATCAGCAAAACTGATGTCCAACAGCTTCCCCCACCCCAAATTAGAGGAAGATTACTCCTTTTTTTTTTTTTTCCTTTTTGTTCGTTACTTTTAAAGCACCGTTATCCTATGGATGCAAATCCATTATGACAAGCTATTTACAGTCTTCCTTCACTTTCCTCCATGACGTTATGATTAAGGCCCCTGATTCACCCCCCTTCTAGCTCCTTGAATTGAGGTCAATTCCTTCTTCTCAGTTCAGGGAAGACACTTGTTAACAAGATACTTCCCAGCAAGGGAAGTTTTCCTGCTGCCGCCCTTCAGAGCCACGAATGCCACCAGCCTAACACGGGGAAAACACTCCTAGCACTACGGAGTCTGCTCCGTCTCCAGGTGCTGAAAACAGCGCCGGTGGACCCCAGACTCGTGACTCGGTGAGATGGCAGACAGGGAATGAGCCCTGGGTCTGGAAGTCTCGTTGCCACAAGGCAGAACAGAACCTCCCCAACCTCCTGCTCCACCAGCAAGGGCTSCAAGCTAGTGACCTGAATGGGGGCCCCAGGTGGGGTAAAACAGCTACACTGATGATTTCAAGTAGCCCCTAGTGAGGGAGTACAACTGTCAGTGAGGGTATTTCTCCGCTGTATTATGAAGCTTGTATTGCTGCTTTACATTGGCTTTGACCCAATTCAAAGTCACAACGTTTACTTTGGGAGTCTCTTCCCAAACATATTAAGATGTAAGGTGCCCATCAGCTCTTCAATCAACCTGGTTTTAAAAAGAAAGTGGCTGCATCCACATTTTCTGAGGGACTCTCTCGCAGAGAGGCATGATGGATGCTCTACATTTCTGGGTTGGATATTTTAAGGGGAAGGAGGTTTCTAGTTGCACATCAGATTGCGAGAGGAAAGGGCTGCCACACTTCTCAGCTTGGGGCTGTTCCGTGCACACTCACAAGCGAAAGGAGGTTGAGAAAAAGGGCCAAGTGACTTCAGGTACTTCCAGAACTGGGCAGCTGCCGAGCAAGAAGCAGATGGGAAGAGAGTGCTTGGATCACAGCTTTGGACTTGCTCCCTAAAACCCATCTAAATCTTTATTTGGATCTAATCCTTAACCAAATCCAAAGACTCCATAAACATAAAAACTTTGCTTTTATTTAAAAAGATGCTTTTATTTAAAAACTTGCACTTCGATTTTATTTAAAAACTTGAGCTTTGCTAAGGCTCAAGTTACACTCAGGAAAAAAAAAAAAAAAAGAACCCTGGACTGTATTATTATTTTACTGCTCCAGGGAAAAAAGTTAGGAACCCCAATCACCACAAAAAAAGAAGCACTATAGTTCAATGTAAGTAAAAAAGACACCCCCAAAACAAACAAAACAAAAAAAGACCCCACCAAAAAACAACAACAAAAAAAAACCAGCCTAGTCAAGCAGACAAGAATCCCCTTTTTCCAACTACACATGACTCGAAAGCTCCTGGGATGCTCTCAGAAGAGCATCCTGAGTTTTAAAGCCGAAGACTGGATGCAACCCATTTATTAAAAGTTGTTGCTACTTTGAATTATTTTTCCTCTTTCTCAAGCAGGGTCCAGGATCTGCTTCAGACCACAGAGAGACAAATCTAGAGGCATCCCATTAATGACAACCGAGTGGCAGAACCCCGTGCATCTGTGACAGAAGTTAAAATAGAAGAACGCTAGGACACCCTAAATACATAAAGCCTTCAGCTAGCATATCCTAAACGCATAAAGCTTTTGCAGGAAGCAATGCAAGATTGCTAAGAGGGGAAATAATGATAAAATTTTGACTAAATGCAGGTCCAATTTTCTCCCACTTGCCCTTCAAATTCGCCTTGAGATTTTGTTCTCATTCAGTGTTTGAGGCCATTATTTTGGTGCCTGTAGCTAGATTTCTGCAAGGTATTTTTATTTAGTTGTACTTTCATGTGATTCTTTATCTCTTGCACTCTCCTTCTGCATCCTGGAGTTTAGCTTTATAAGACAGTTAAGGTGTATAAAAAGCTGCAGGTTTCCAGTAAAGGATTTTTTGGTCATAAAATGCTGAAGTTTGTCTATTTTAGGTCAAAGGGGCAAGTCACTCTGTCTCAGCAAATTGCACCAAAAAATATTGGCTAGCAGGGAGGGCAATAGTGCAAAATCTGCCTYAGCCAATTGACTACGTTTGGCCACTGAATGCTGTAAGGTAGATATATTACATAGATTATTGCAAGCCTTAGAAATCTGGTCATCAATACTGGAGACAAGTGCTACCATAATCCAATTATCAAGCCACAGAGTGACAGAGGAGCTGGAGAAGAGTCACATACAAGACTCCCTAGAACAAGCAGTAACAGGTGACATTTGCTAAGGCTCTATGGAAATACTGTGATCCATCGACGGGCGCTGGAATTCAATTTTTTGCCCTGCCTTCTGGATCCATGAAGTGGCAAGAGGCCTTGCAAACTCCTACCCCTGTTTAACCAACATGAAACAGCTACCGTACAACTGAAGAAACACATTTATTACCTCCTTCAACTTTTCCACATTATCTATCACTTTTTCACATATATCATTGGCAGCTTTCAGCTTTTTGCTCCATTCCTCCAGGGTCTCTGGGCCAGTGGTACTTGTTTCATCTGGTGACTGGCTAGTTTCCTCACTTTGGCAAGATAAGGATGACATTGTAGGATCCAGGAGAGACTTCAGCTGTGTCTGTAAACCGAGGTTTTTACCCCTCAGATCTTCCACTTCTTTTTGCAGGGATTCTATTTCGTCCTGAAGGCACCAAAAATTAAAATATCACAGGAATTAAGATAACAAGGCAGATTAATTAAACAATATCGGCAAGTTCCCACAGCACTCTAGCAGCACAGGCTCTCTGGCAAGCTCAAACGCCTGCCTTTACTTACACAARGCTCAATGTGCTCTGCTTCAGGCAGGCTTTTATCAACATGCATGCTGAAACACAGCACAGGTTTTAGGGAAGGGAATCCCCTGCCTGCATGCAGAATCCTGAGCAAAGTGGCTGACAGACCACAGGCTTTAGAGCATTCAGCTCTAAACAAGGCTCTGCTTACACAGGTGCTCCCAGAGATGATCTCCGGCATAAAGTGMGTTCTTAAGGGGATCCTCTGCTAACTCATTTGCTGTTAATTGTGTATGATATGCAAGAAATACCCTGAAACGTGGCAGGATCAGATGCTGAAAGTCCCTACATTAAAAATGGACGCAGGACTGCCTGGAAGAACTTGCTCAACAGTATCAGCCGCACCAGCGCAGAAAAGTCCAAGGTAAAAATTCTCAAAGACCAGTGAACAAGGCTCTTAACTGCATCAGTTAGGAGTCATAGAGAAACACTGACTTCAAAAACACTCTGTTTAAAGGGTAAAAAGACTTCTTCTCCCTGAAATCACATCTTTGCGCTGTCTACCATGCTGATACTTGAGTTGTTCAAGCTCAGATTGCTCAAGCAAGCAAGCCACATAATGATATTAACATAAATCCAAGGCATATTTACATTAATCATGTAAATTTCTTTTTCTTTTCCCCAACATGGGAACAATCATTTTAAAACTGGAAGGTTTTGCTTTTAAAAGAGATTTATGTTATCTTATCCTTATCCATAGGGTTTAGAGGTGACAACAGAAATAAACAAAATTTTCTTTTCTTGTTCTCCATGAAAGAAACTTCACCATAGGTATTCCAAGCATAAAAGAGAAGCCTAACTTCCATAATCGTAGGGATATACACGGGGTCCACTTCCTTTCTCTCCTTCCCCTGCGAGGAAGGATATGAGATAGGTTTCCTGGAGAAACACGGGATGTCTTCATAGAGCTGCTGCTAAGGAAACAACAGCTAAGAGGAGGAATCAAACGTGAATCTTATCGAGAACTCCTCCTTTCTTCTTAAGAGCATATTTTTCAGTAGGAGAGTGGCCAAGCATTCAGTCATTTTCAGAAGACAATAAAGCAGCAACAATTAAAAATTAATCTATGCTAGGAGATTCTAGTGGGCAATATCCTTTAAAAAATATAGTCTTCCAAGCAACATGGAAGACACAAATAGAAGTCTGTATTTGTAAAACTATATATATATATATATATATATATATATATATATATATATATATATATATATGTCTGTGTGTGTGTAAAAAGAGAATCCTCTCATCTCACCTAGGGGTGAAGATTTCCATGCTACTCAGGAACTGGTTATACTTGGCTACCTGTGAGTTAGAAAGTGTTTCACTGCTGACTTCAGTGTCATCTCTTCAACTAACACCAAGTTCTCTCTCTYAACTTCAACCTGAGGATGGGATTTTCACACAGCTGAGTTGCAGATTCTGTAYCAAGCTTTGCTCAAAATAAATAAATAATAATAATAATACAAAATAAAAGCAACGCTAGAACCCTGAAAGCAAGGAGATCTCCTGGACCTATTAATTTTTTGTTGTGGTTCACGTGAAAGGTGACAACACTTCCCACACACCCACCTCATACTCTTTGTGCAGTAATTCAAGTCTRGTTTTACGCAGGTGTTTTCTGACTGTTGGACTAAACACAGGATCACTTTCACTTGTTCCTCCTAAAGCAACACAGGATAAAGACTCAGTAATATTCAATGTTAGTCATCCATTTTGAAGTGTTTTAGTGTTTTTCATACTATTATACACACACACACACAGCTGAACAGTGGAYCAAATTACCACAGAAAAATTTAAATTTCTTTCATTTTCAAAAGAGGCGACAGGGAGTATCTCTTAATGATGTTAAGATGTCAAATCCTCTCAAAATTTGAAAGGTCAAACTTGTATTTTTGTTGCTAGAAACCTATTTTATTGAAGACAATACTACTAAAAGAAGGTGAGGGGGATAGAAAAAAAATCAAGTTTACATTAATTTAGCACAAAAATATGCAAATTTGCAATGTAAAATCATTTAGATTTATTTTTCCCTTGACAGAACCAGATATCAAGGCTGATATTTCTACCTCAAATCAAAATCAGACTATTCAACAGTATTTTGGGAATGTTCAGATCCTCATTCAAGTTTTATATTTTTGACTTCTTTCTTTATTAAGAGACATTTTCTTTTAAAAAAGAAGGTGAGGGCAAACAAAAAAAAAAAAAAAAAAAAAAAAGAAGACTACATGCTCACTCAAAATTCTGCATCGAAGTATTTTAGCTCCCAGCTAAATAATGCCCTCCTAGGTCAGAAGGTTGCGATATGTAGGTAGGTAGAGTATCTGAAGTGAGATGCAGTTTTCTTCCAGTTAAATGCATTATCCATCAGGATCTAAAAGAGCAGTCATCAGAGCTGCTGGGTACTTGCTGCCTGTGAATAATCAAACCACGGATAGAAGCATCATCCTTGGAAGTTTCACCTTGTAGTTACGCACACTCCTAGCAAGGTGTAAAGTCATTTCTTCCTTAAATACTGATATAAAACACACACAAATCTGGACATCTCTGAGCTCCACAGTTCAAAGTCAAAAGTCGTCCTTACCTATAATTTCCTTGCAGGGATTTTCAGGTGTGATAGGAATCCTGCAAGCTGGACACTGATTATTGTTCTTTAGCCACACGTCAATACAAATGGAACAGAAGACATGGTTGTTGACACAGATGACTGGGTGACGCACCTTGTAGCATTAAGAAAAAGAGCACGCAAACAAAGAGATGCTATTAATACTTTATCCCCTTTACAAGTAACGAAATAGGAAAACATACTACTCTAATTCCTCACGTTTATGGTTGCACTTGATCATCTTGAAGGTCTTTTCCAGCCATAATGATTCTAAGCCTGGTCATAAACACGAAAAATGCACTATTGTTCTGCTGGGTGAGAAGTGATCTGCTGACTCAGCAGCTCCAAGCTTCCCCATTACTGGGGGCACCAAAACTACAACCACCTTTGCAAACCTAAGGGCCTTGGCTCCAAGAGCTCCTTGGTACACAGCGTGGTGGGTACCYCTGTCACTGCATTACCCCTTATCCCTATGACCACAGCTAGCCACTCCAGTGAAACCCACTTGCCTCTCTAGGCAGAGGGAGGCCACGCAGGAACTGATTTCTGAAAGGGAGGGAATGGGGAACTGCCTCTGGCAACAGCCCACGCTTTGCCGTGGAAGAGGTATCACTGAAACGGACAGGATATCAGATTATATTTAGCCCAAACGTAGCTGCGTGGAAATCAACCTTAAAAAGCATAAGGGCCAAATCCACAGAGCAGAAATATGAACTAGTAATTACTAATTCTACCCTCCTGCTAAATATGCATTACTGCTAAATAAGTCATCACCTCAGAATGGGGCAAATGAAAGCTTAAATATTCCAATCAGATGCAGATCCTTTCCACAAGCTTCCTTCCCTTCCAGAYCAGCAGTGTAAACAAACATTTAGAAAATATTAATGATAATGCATTATTCTCTTGTCACTTAACTATAAATCCTGTTTGAAAGCGAGTAGCACAGAGGCACCAAAAAAAGAACACAGGAGAAGAGAAAAGCTTCCCCTACATCTACGCCTTCCTGAAGCTTGTGTTATGGCTTACAGTAACAGGCACTCTCAAGTCTCTCAAGACTTACCATTAATATCTTCTTAAAAATAATTATTTGATTCCTCCACCACTATCTTTGTCCTAAAGATCTATTTTGAGACATAACAAACAGTAGTATCTACTACTTTATATTYTACTGCATTGCTTTCATGAAACTTAAAATCCAAATTTAAGAGAACTCCTGTAATTTCCAAAAAGCCCCATCACCCTCAAGACCTTCCTCTTTCTRCTTTTAGAAAGGTAGTCAAGCTACAAAGAAAGATGAAATGGTGGCAGGGAGAAAGAAAGTAAGTRGAAACGAGACCTAATAACCACTTTGGAAAACAGGCTGGATATGTCCTGTAGTAATCACACCGACAGCTTCAACATTGCCCAAGTTAAACAAAGAAAACCCAAGCATTTTATCACTGAAATACATATGAATTGCACTCAAGGCCCAGATCTGTCAGGCTCTTCCCCAATTTCCTTTCTGTGCCTCTGTCACATTACAAGATTCACATTATAAAAAAATTCACTATGAAAGTTCTAGGTGYCTAAGGGTTTGTGTGTGCACAAACAGAAACTAACCTCCTAAAGGTGTAAATAGGAAAAAAGTGATTTCTTAAAGTGGATGCAGACTCTCACCTCTAATTAAGGAGGCTTTTTTATGATAAATGCAAGTGTTCCCCCACCAACTCTTAAAGAGATCAAATAATACAGTTTCAGGAATCAAAAACGTATCTTTGTCATTTACTTAAAAAAGAAGAAAAACAAAACTAACCTCTTCCAGCTTTCCCACTGTCACTAAAGGAAAAAAAAAAGAAAAAATACACAAATAAAAGAAACTTTTTCTCTGGACCAGCTTGTTTCTTACTCAGGAAGAGTCAGAGAGAAGTTACGTGGCTCTGACTGCATATAAAGCAAAAGAAAATAGTAAAATCTAAATAGTGAAAGACATTTCAGGAGTGCAGGTCTCCTCCCACGGGAGCGAGAGACCCTCAGCTCCCCCAATCCTGACACACAAATGCACTTCCTCCAAGTGAACAATTATTCCGTATCTCTAGCAAAGTAGTAAGTCAGGCTGATTGCYCTCCAGGGCACAGTGCTTGAGATTCACACACCTTCACAAGGCTCCCCGCAGCGCTGCGGCACGTGACTGTTTTCGGGGGCTCGCAATGCACACAAAGCAAAGGAGGCAACGGCAGCAGAAGCTGCAGGTGAAGCTCTGCAGGGAACGCAAAGGCTGGGCTGCAACTTCTCCCCAAAAAGGCTGCCAGCTGCCGCCAGCTCGCGGTGGGGAGGTCACGCTGCCTACTTGGTACCCAAAAGCAGCAAATTCTACCGTATTACGGCGCCGTTTCAGTTCCTCAGGTGACCACAGCAGCTAAACAGACTTCAGCTTCTCAGGCGAGGCCTGAGGGGGGTGGCTTTCCTGAACTTCTAACTTCTTCCCATTCAAAATGCAAACACTGATGGTACCATGCTGCTGGCGTGCACTGAAGCCTCAAATCCTGCACATACCTATGCTACTTTAGGGCACTTATACACCTTTAAGCTGCATAAACTGAGCAGCTGGCATATGTGCAGAAGAAGGCATCTAATAGTTCTGTGTGAATGCCTTGAAATACAGGAGGGACTCCACAACACAAGGAATTGTGTGCCCAAGTCCTTGCAAACTGTGAGCACTGGGCCCAAGAGAGGAGACCCTCTGCCATTCCAGACTCAATAAGCCTGGTAGATATAGACAGAAGAGAGAGGCCTGAAACAGTGGCAAGTTTCCCTGAGTGCCAAGTGTCTGGACAGTGATTCACTCAACTACAAATAAAGTTCAGAGGGCTATGCTAAAGCAGCACTCAGATTGTAAACATAACATGTATTCGAGCAATTTAACTCAGCAATTTTTACTCATTTGGCAAATAGACTTTACAAATATACCGACAAAATGGATAACAATGTTATTCACACTCCCAATGCTCCATTAAATACAAGGAGCGGATGACATTACTGAAGGAGTCTTTATCTGCTGTGTTTTTTTACCGTCTCACCACTATGCACAGAAACTTTAACATATTTCACTACTTTGCATCAAATCCTTTGTCAATTTTGCAGACGTACATGAAGATGCATTTTCTGATTGTAGGGTGGGCCATACACTACATGTGAAGCCTGTGCTACAAGTACTAGAATATGTTAACTCTGCATTTTACTTTCTTCTTTCACCCACAAAACAAGACAAAAACTGCACGACTGTTCTCTCAATATTAAACAAGACAAAGTTTTTCCTTCTCTAGCCTTACTCTTGAAAATAGAAAAGCTTTTTTTACAGCTTCTTTCAACAAAGTTACAAGCTGCAGAAAAAGATTGAAGTCTGAAATAACTTCAGACTTTTGGGATGGAAAGCGTTCACTGAACTGATTACAGATGTCACAAGATTCATGTATAACATTAACATGTTCAATGACAGATACCAAGAAAGAAGACAGGGGAAATCTCTTCCAGTACAAACTCCATCATGAAACACCAGTTCCTGATTGGTTTCAGAATTAAAACTGGAAGTAGGGGACAGTGGCCTGAAATAAGGCTTCATAGCAACCTATGAATGAATTGGTAACTACTGAGTGCTTACAAAAATGGAAATTACTAGAAGATTTAAATTGGCAATAAAGTACCAACTTGTTTTAATCTCTTTTTCAAAGAAAATCCACTCTGAATAATAGGAACAGTGAATTTGTACTCTTCTCCACTCATCCAGAAAAGGAGAGAGGGCAGGGCCACAGCTGGGACACTTTATTTCCACAGAAAAGCCAAGCAAGGCCTGGCTCTGGTTGCTGAAACCATGAGGCTGCTGAGACATGTGGGCAAGAGGGGACGTCCGCCTGCTCTTCCCACCWGTGCTGCACTCATTTCGCACCTTGAACACATCAATCCCTTTGCCATTTTACCAACACAAGCAGCAAAGATCTCAGGGCACAGGGCAGGTGAGGTAGAAAGAACCAGAAGACTAAATGCCAGAGTGTGAATATAGGAACTATTTGTATTTCCCTGTCATTTCTTGTTGTGTTTTAAGAGGTTTCCTTCGGTTGAGGGCACAAGAAAACGAGAAAGAACAGAAATGGAGAAAGACAAAGAATGTGAGAAGCAACTAGTGACAGCTACGAGTTTTGTGGGCTGCTAGAGAAGAATGGACTGGTGACAGCCTCCCCTGTGGAGGGGGAAAAGCACCGAAACCCTCTTGGACAACAAAGAGGGAAATGAGCCTTTTCCTCTAAAGCGCTGGCACATTGTTCTGGATTTTTTTTTAATCCACTCAGTTGCACAACTTTTGTTTACAAATCGTTTCGCTTGTTCCCTGTGATACCAGGCTCAGACACAAACTCGCCCGAGCTTTTAAAATGCTCAAGTCCCTCCTGCCAAGGGCAGGAACAAATCCAGGCCCCTCAGAACCGCTGCCCTGACGGCGCTGCACCCAACACTTTATCTTTAGGGGGGTAGGGAGAGCAGTGGCCCCAGTCCCGTGGGGGCACAAGGGCCCCACCGCGGCAGAGGTGGCAACAGGCCTCGCTGCCAGCTCTCCCGGGGCTGGGATCCTCACATTCCCTTACTCTGGAATTGAGGATCACGACCTACTCCGAGCTGGGATCGCAGGAGATCCTCGGATGGATCCTGGGGATGGGATCGCCCCTCCTGGGCACCGCGGTGGTGGCGGAGCGGCTGTTCCGCACTACTCCAAGGCGGGATTGTTCCCCTCTCGCAGACCCCGCCACACACAAAGGGGCCTGACCCCCTTCCTCGAGGACCGGGTCCCCCCTCAGGACTAGCGGCTCCTCCTGGATATCCCGCCCCCGCTCCAAGGGATCCTCTGCGAGAGGGAATCACGCACCCGCCCCCCCGCGCCGGATCCCGTCCCTCCCGGCGCCGGGATCGCCCCCCAACTCCCCCCGTGCCGCTCGCAGCGCTCTGTAGCGCGGCGGGGCCGGGCAGGGCCGCTCCGAGCCGCCGCCGCCGGTGGAGGGGCGGACACGAGGCCGCCCGAGGAAGGGCGGCGGGCGGCGGCGGCGCCGTTACCTTGCCCAGGCAGATGTGGCAGGTGATGGGCAGCGTGAGGGAGAGCGTCACGCTGGGGCCGCTCTGCGCCATGGCGGCGGCGCGGGCCCCGCGGCGCGGAGCTCCCGGCCGCTCCCGGCCCGGCCCGCGGGCGGCAACGGCGGCGCGTAACGGCCGCCCCCCCGCGCCAAACGGCGGCTACGGCGAGCGCGCGGGGCCAAGATGCCGCGCGCGCGCGCCGCGGGAAGGGAGGGGAGGGGGCCGCCCCGCGCCGCCATGGTCGCCGCCCGGCTCCCCCCCCCGCTGCCCCGGCCCGCAGCGGGACCGCGGCCCCGCACGCAGCGCTGCCCTCGGCGGCGGGCGTGTGTCGGGCGGCCTCCGTGCAGCAGAGCGGCCCCCTCCGCACACAGCGYCCGGTTTTCACGGTTTAGTCGAGTAATGTCTGGAATAATTTGTCAAATAAGCACCAACAATTAAGTCCTAACCGTCCCTCCTGCACCCTCCGTTCTTCTCTCCCTGATGGCGTGACCCATGGATGAGACCAACTGCAGGAGAACTGTGGCTGTTGTGCCCACCAGCCACATCACTGCCTGAGTGCCCACCACCCTAGTGCCCACCACCCTGGTGGCCGTCACCTTGGTGGCCATTGCCCTGGTGTCCACCACCCTGGTGCCCACCACCCTCGTGGCCGTTGTCCTGGTAGCCGTTGCCTCCATGGCCATCACTGGCTGTGGCCCTGGTGGCCATTGGCCCAGCTGTGGTTGCAGAGGGCAAAGCCCAAATCCTGAGCATAGGCAACCCCCCAAGTGATGGTGCAGGCGCAGTGACATTGAACGATGCCTGGAGGGACCTTCCTGTGGTGGTCTGTGGTAGCCGCAGTCAGCTCCACAAGCCAAAAGCTGAGTGGCYGACACTCCAGAGGGCTGTGCTGCCATTCGGAGGGACCGGGACAGCTTGGAGAGATGGGCAGAGAGGAACCTCCTGAGGTTCAACAGGGACAAGTGCAGGGTCCTGCACCTGGGCAGGAAGAACCCCAGGCATCAGGACAGATTAGGGGTCGACCTGCTGGAAAGCAGCTCCACGGAGAGGGACCTGGGAGTCCTGGTGGACACCAAGTTAACCATGAGGCAGCAGTGTGCCCTCGTGGCCAAGAAGGCCAACGGGATCCTGGCTGCATCAGGAGCAGTGTTGCCAGCAGGTCAAGGGAGGKGATCCTGCCCCTCTCCTCAGCTCTGGTGAGGCCGCAGCTGGAGTATTGGGGGCAGTTCTGGGCTCCCCAGTACAAGAGGGATGTGGAGCTTCTAGAGAGGGTCCAGCRGAGAGCGACAAAGATGATTAAGGGACTGGAGCTTATATCTTATGGGGAAAGACTAAGTGAGCTTGGCCTGTTTAGACTGGAGAAGACTGAGAGGGGATCTGATCAATGTCTATAAATACCTGAAGGGGAAATGTAGGGAGGAAGGGGCCAAGCTCTTCTGGGTGATGACCGGTGACAGGACAAGGGGAAATGGGTATTAGTTGAAACACGGGAAGTTCAATGTCCATGTGAGGAAGAACAACTTTCCTCTGAGGGTGAGAGAGCCCTGGAACAGGCTGCCCAGGGAGACTGTGGAGTCTACTTCTCTGGAGATCTTCCAAATCTGCCTGGATGCGGGTGATGTAAGATGTAAATGCAGGAAACATACACTTATTATGTTTTGAGCTTTAAACAGAACCACTGAAATGTGAAAATACATTAAAAGTATTTATCAAGCACCAAGCAAAAAGCAGAGGAAGGCAGTGAATCCCAGTGAATACATCTTTCTTAGCTTTATTTCTCTATTGATTTTTACTGAAAAGCAGACAATAGCAAGAGCCGAAAGGATAAATACATGAAAGGGAAATCAAAACCAAGGAACTACATCCTACAATTGACYTGTTAAACCCTTTTAAATGAGTCAGGGATAAAGCTGGAACCTTTTCAAAGGCATAACTTTCCTGCTTCAAAAAAGTATATGGAACTGGAGAGTGACCTGATAGAGAACAAGATCTGTTAGGATGAATATATTTTCTCTCAACCAAAAAGAGCTCATAAAAAGTAAGTTATTTTTTTCTGAATAGGCTGCTAAAAGGAATGTATTTTCTGTTTAAGGAGGTTAAACTTATTTGTTTAGCAGATTTCTGCTGAAGTTGGATGCCTAGACAGTGAAAAAATACTTCAAAAATTATTTGTGATCTAATAGTGCCTGAGGTTTAGTTGGGATTTATGGGATGATGTTACCAACTCTTCTGGGGCACAGAAAATATTTAATTCTGCAGTGCTGAGAGAGAGACCGCGGAGAGGGAAGGAGAGAGCTGGAGGGGTAACAATCTGCTGCAGTTAAGGGGAGCTGAGAAATGTAACGTGAGGACAGGAGGCAGCGAGCGCTTAAAGTGGCCGAGCCAGCTGAGGTGGCAGTTGTGCAGGCGGGAACAGGGCCKTTTCATCCAGGCACTAAGGCTGGCGCCCGGAGGAAGCAGATAGAAACCTCCCTGGAATGCCTGGAATGTCTGCTGAGAGCGGAGGTGCACGAGCCTGGCAGGAGAGCGGAGCTGTGTCGAGTGCTGCGGMGGAAGGACGGAGAAGGATGGGTTAAAACACGGGAATTTGAGTCACCCATCGACTCTGTTGGAATTAGGGTTTAAACTTGTTAAATTCATCAGCTGCTTCCTCACATGCCCTGTGGTCTCGGGAACCTTGAGACAGTTAAGGGTGTAAATATGCGACATTATAACAGAAATGAAAAGTTATTTGATGGGCGTTTTAAAGGAACCCATGTAGGACRGGATAAACTGGTCAGAGCACAAAACTAACCCAATAAGTCTTTTCAATTTGAGACTCCTTCCTGCTTTTTTGACTCTGAAAAAACAAATGAAGTTACTGCATTTTTTTTTTTCACAGGGCATGGATGTTTTAGATGTATGTAAGATATACCCTATATTCTCTCTATATATGTCTTTCAAAATAGCATGTTGTGGAGAGAGAACTAGGGGAGTGTTGGTGATGGTGCTGGATAGCGAAATTCATGTCTGCTTGGCTAATTTGTCCACATGATAAGCAAGAAATAATGCAATCGTGCTGGTTCTAATAATTCAGATGTGTTTGGGTATATAGCTTTATGCCATGAAAAGCCAACTTGAAGGCTGTTATTTTTACCTACACAATGTAACTGCTGTTGGTGKTTTTTTTCTCTTTTTCTATATTTTTTATGGTGAAGTTGAAGCGACCATGGGAGCTGCCAAACAGTGACAAACCTGAGTATCCACTCTTACTTTCCACTTCTGCAACACTGAAGTCTGGCTGCGTTTGCYGAAAGGCTGAATCTTTAGCTTTTAAGAAGGATTTCTCAGGCAGTTTTACATGTTTCAGGGGAAAATACTGTGAAGTTTGCCTAAAAGCAAGAGTAGAGATTCAAACATGGGTTTCTTCTGCCTARATTTGGAACCGTGATCCTCAGAACTAGTTTCAGAAAGGGGAGTGAAGATAGGCTCCTTTTTCCCCTTCTCCTGTGAATTTTGCTACTGACCTGCTGTGCACAGTGACAACCTTCCTGTGCAGCTTCTGCCTCGCTGGGTCCTGCTGTTTGACTCCCAGATGAGCCAGACTCTCAGGCTCATCTCTCAGGCCCATGTTCTTGATGCTGGAAATACATAACTTGCCCCATATATATATAAGCTCAGTAAATTACTCTTGCTGCTCACTTTTTGAGAGTTCTTGTCTGACTTGCATTTCAAAGCAAAGGTTAAATTTTGGCTTTCTTTTTAAAACAGGGGCTTGGTTTTGGCTGTGGAGAAGATGCCAAATGTTGCACCCGCAGAAAGGAAATAAAAAGGAGGCCAGAGGCCAGAATGTAAATCTCTGGCCTTTGGGTAAGTGGGCCTACTCAAGTGAAAGCACAGCTTTGGAAATTTGATCATGCTGGAGATTGACAGTCATGTATGAGCTCGCTGCTCTTAATCCTCTCCTTCACATAAAACAATAAAAAATGACAATAGCTTTTACAGAGGCAGTTTTCGTTTTGATTTTAACTGCCCTAACTTTATCTCATCCTGAAGTAGAAGATGCCTCCTGTCAGGCACCATTGTCCGTAAAGGAATTTGAAGTGCCTAGCTCAGACTCAGACACCTCACTTTTAGACATCTAAAGTTAAGTGCAAAAGATCAGAACCCATTCTTTATGACCCTTTTTTAAGACGTTTTTGATCCTGCCCATGTGACACTTTTGTTTCTTTTGCTGCACGTCATCATGGAATCAAACAAGTAAATAAAAATGCCGGCTCCTATTTGAAGTCAGTGGTTCCACCTGCGTGCCTRGAAGGTTCAACTATCTCCCTTTTTGCTGTTGAGGAAGGCCTAAGAAGTTGATACCCTGTCAGGCCCTTTTTCAGATGAATATTTAATCTGAACAAACCGAGCTGTGTTAGGATGACATCCTAGGGCAGGAAGAAGTTCCCGGAGTGCTATATTGTACAGGCYCTCTTTAACACACCTTCTATGACTATGGATTAGTCTACTGATAGTTTCACGGGCTCTTTGGGCAGCTCAAAATGTGAGGAAATGTCCTCTGATCCCAAGGCCATGTGGTGGGGTCCGGCTCACGTTCACCTTGCCCAAACTATCCTTCCTGTGAAAGGGTCGCTCTTGTCAAACCTGTGCGCTGATCTGCAGCACATACAGCATCTTCTGAGCTGTGCAAATGAGCAGGTCYGTTAAAAAGTATGGATAAGCAGTGCTCTGTCTGTATCCTGTGCCTCTTTTATTCACTAGCATATGCAAAGCCTTCATGAAGCAGGCAATGTAACAGAGAAAAGGGTGAATTTTAGCTACTTTTTTTATTCATGGAAATCCCTTTCTAAGTCAGACATCTCCAAAGTTGAACTTCCTTCAGGAAAACCACATTTCTATCTAGCCATACACAGAACATCTTTGAGACTGAGCTATCATTCTGCAAATTGTGGCTGCTACTGGAGCTCTAAAGTTCCTCCTTACATCGGAGTTTGGACCGCAGAATATGTTAGTGAGAAATGGGTGTGTTACTGCGAGCGGACTTTAGTGTCCTGTCCCTAATGACAATA